CCCACCGTCGTGACGCTGCCCACGCGGACCCTCTGGCCCGTCGGGAGGCCCGGTGACTCGGCCAAGGTCACATGACGCCGGCCCCAGGGCCGCGGGGCTAAGTGACCCCATGCCGTTCTTTGTCACCAACCCAAGGCCCTGTGTTTTCCGAGGGTTATGTTTTGGATTTTTAACAATCCCGACAGCTTCACCCTAAGGCAGGCCCAGCTTCCTCGGTCACCAAAACGTCACCCTGGCCTCGATTGCTTGGACAGGCCACCGAGTACGGTGCCTCGAGACGTTCCTGAAAGGCTGGGAGCTTGGGAGCAAGCTGCTTGCCCCGACTGCAGGATGAAGGATTTTCAGGCACAGTGGCCAAAGAGAGGCGTTTCACTTGCTTATTTTTAATTGTTTGAGATAGGGTCTCTTGTCTCTCCAAGGCTGGTCTCTTAAACTCCTAGGCCACAGCAGTCCTCCTGCCTCAGCCTCCTGAGTAGCTGGGAATGTGAGTGCATCTCACCAGGGTACCCAAGAAAGGCCTTGTATGCAGGCCAGTGATGGGGAGGAAGCCGGAGCTCAGGTGGGAGCTCGAAGATAGCGGGGGTGACAGGCCGGCCCAGCGGCTTTGGGAGTGACCCTCGCAGCCTGTGTCCGTGGCTTTTGAAAAGCTTGCCCTTGTCTGACCCTCCTCTTCTGTCACTGAGGTGCCCAGCAGGCAAGGGGTGAAGAGGGAAGGAAATCAAAGCCCACCACTGTAGCCCCAGTTGGGTTCTCCCAGTCAGGTACTTGGGAGGCGTGGCAGAACCAGCCTCAGTTTACCAGTCAGGGCTCAGCTGTAGGTCTGATTTGTTATCTGGGGGAGAAGCAATCAATCTGACAGGCTGTGGAATTCTAGAATTCTACAAGGGGCTAGGCAGGTGCCTGGTGGCTACATTCTGCCCTCTGCGGCATTCTACACACCCAGCCCCTGTTAAACCTCAGGGCTGCTGGTGTGCCAGGACCATTTCTGCTTCTCAAACCAGGCAGCCTAGCCTCAGAGTGAGAAATCTTGCCCATTCAGGGCCATGATGGTACAGGCCTATAATCCCAGAATCCTGGGTGTCTGAGACAGGATGACTGTAAGTTTGACTTCACATTGAGCAATTTAATAACCCTGTCTCAGATTTTAAAAGGGCATGGGGTGGGTATGTAATTCGGTTGGAAGGCCTTGGATTCAATTTCTAGTACTGTAAAAAAGAAAAAGGCCAGGGATGAAGCACAGTGGCACCACACCTGCCTGGCAAGCAAAAGGTCCTGAGTGCAATCCCTGGTACCAAAAGAGAGACACAGAGAGAAAATGCAGAATCTTGCCCAGGTCCTGAGTGGGCTCCAGCCCTCCCTCTGGGCTCCTTCCACTCTCTGTGGGTCACAAGGGGTTTACTCAGTCTCTCTGCTGCATGCATTCCCTAGGTGCCTGAGGACCTGCCTCGGGTCTGTCCTAAGGGCTACCCTCCCAGGAGGCCAGGACAAGCACCAGGCCAAAGAGGATGGTGGCCAGGACAGCCACACCCACGCAGGCATTAGGACGTGAGCCTGAGGTCTCTAGCCAGGAGGAACTGGACCTCAGGCGTCTGCTGGGACCCTGTCCAGTGGGGTTTGTCCCACCTCAGGCTGGCGCCTAGAGGCCCAGGGGCAGCAGAGGGCAGCCTGGCAGGCCAGGAGGCACTAGCCTGGGGTTCCCTGAGAAAGTTGGGGGACACTGGGAATGGCAGCCGTGGAGGGGGTACAGGGTGCAGGATGGTAGCAGCCCCTGCCGTGTCATTCCCACCTCTCCAGAACCCCACACCTTCTGGGTCTCGAAGCCAAGCCCCAAGCCCCGGGGCCACACCCCCTACCCCAGCCTGAGATCGCCTGCTTTGCTGGAGGGGACAGAAACCACTGGTCGGGGCTGTGACCTACCACCTGCTGCACCCTCTGTGGAACCTGACGGCAGAAGCTGAAGTTTTGGTTTATTTGGTGACACAGTCATTGTTCCTGAGCGTGGTGAGACTGGCTGTGCCCTCTCCAGGCCAGGACACTCCAAGTCCTGATCTGACTGGCTGTGCTCCAGGGAGGAGCACTGTCAAGGGCCGGGGCCGGGCCGTCCAGCTGCTATGGGGCAGGTGTGACCCTGGGGCGGGTGCGAGCTGAGGGAACAGCAGGTCCTGAGGCCAACAGGGGAGGGGCCGAGAGGTGCAGTGGGCAACCCTGGGGCTGTGCTCCTGAAGCCCAGGGCAGCTTGGGCCCAGCAGGCTGGGGCTCATGCCGGAGGCCTTATCCGAGGTCACCTCTTCTGGGTCCGAAGCTGTCGCAGGAGCCACTGCACAACGAAAGGCCACAGGAGGAAGAAGAGCAGTGTGGGAGCCGAGAGCCTGAGGGGCCGGGGCCGCAGTCCCTGCTGCAAGAGGAGGACGGGGATGGCACCGGCTCGGTGGCCTGGATGCACCTGCTCCAAACCAGGTTCCAGAACCCGGCCCCTGCCTGGCCGCAGCAGCTGGCACAGCCCTGTTTTCTGTCAGGGACCAGGAGCTGCAGGAGGCACTGACCCTGCTGGTGGAGCCCGAAGTCCTATGTGGGAAAGGTGGCGCTATCTCCAGTGAGGACACTGGGGACCCCAGGGCAAGGGCCAGGAAGGTGGGGGGTGTGGGCACCTGGCACCAGAAAGCAGAGTAGCTTCTCAAGGTGAGAGGTCGCCAGAGAACACGTGACCTGAGGTGACCGGCTTCCCACCAGCCGAAATTGTTACATCAGAAAGAAGCTCAGAAGAGCGGACTGGAATGTTGAATCTAAAACTCAAGGCCGGTCATGGTGGTGCACACCTGTAATCCCAGCCTTTGGGAGGCTGAGGCAGGAGGATCGCTGTGAGTTCGAGACCAGCCTGGACTACATAGTGACTTCCAGGTCAGTCTCAAATACATAGTGAGACCCTGTCTCAAACCAAACCAAACCAAAAAGAATCTCATGTCCACAACAATACTCAAATAAATAAAACTATAAAATTGTCACCATTGAGGAGGCTTTTCAGTCAGTTCCTCATTTGAAAAATACAGGTGAGGGTCAAGGCATAGCTCAGGAAGAGAGCATGGCTCTAGGCCTTCGATTCTATCCCCAGCACCACACACACATACACACACATATAAAAAGCACTAAAAGGCCAGGAATTTATAGCTTAGTGGTTCTGTTGCCTGCTTCAAAAGAACAAGGACCCCCCCGAGTTTGATTCCCCAGTAACAACAAAAAAAAAAAAGATCACTAAAAAGAAATTTATCCTGTCATTCCATGAAGAGCCATTTTTTGTTTTTTGAGACAGGGCCTACGTAGTTAGCTGGCCTTGAACTCACTGTGTAGCCCAAGCTGGCCTCAAACTCATGGCAATCCTCCTAACTCAGCCTCCTGAGTGCTGGGATGACAGTGTGCACCACCACACCCAACTAAGGACAGTGTTTCAAGAAAACCCAAGGTGATCAAGGAAACTACAGATAAGTGTGGGCTAATAAATGTTACAGAAGTAATAGGATTTTTCTTTTAGGAATATGTAATAGGATTTTAAAAATCAACATCTTTTTGTAACCACTAAATGATTCAGGCAAAAATCATCACTTGTCAAAATCTGAGGTTGATGTATGGCAGAGCGGGGGCTCTACCACTGGAATCCCTGTCCCCTGCCACCTCTGACACTGCCCAGCCCACAGCACTGGACTGGACCACACCTGAGCATTCATATGTCGTGTCCAGAGGATGCAGGTGATGACACCCTGAGGTTGGACATTCTGCAGGAGCGTGGCCCAGCCTGGTCACCAGGCCAGCAGCAAGGCACAGGCCCGGTCTTAAGGGACCCTGGGGGAAGCAGCTTACTGGTACAGAGCTGGCCTGGCCTGGTCCAGACCGTGGGTTCAAACCCTGACAACACCTAGTCACACAGTAATGATAAAGGACACTCAGAGGCAGAGGATCCAGGCACAGGGTATCATCCTGACTGGATAAGCAGCAGGGAGAAAAATCAATTTCAGGACAAGTAAGGAAATCTGAATGTGGACTGAATATTTGACATTCAAGAATTGACTGTGTGACAAGAAATGTTTTTGTTTTTTTCCTTTTTTCTTTTTTGTTTGTTTTGTTTTGGTTTTTTGAGACAGGGTCTCACTATTTAGTTGAGACTGACTGGGCTGGAACTCACTATGTGGCCCAGGCTGGTCTGAACTCACAGGGATTCTCTTGCCTCAGCCTCCTGAGGGCTGGGATTACAGGCATGCGCCACCATGCCCAGTGGCTTTTTTCTTGATTTTGTTTTTTTGAGATAGGATCTTGCTATGTAGTTCAGGCTGGCCTTGAATTCACATGTAGGCCAAGCTGGCCTCAAATTTTCACTGATCCTCCTGCCTCAGGCTTAGTGCTGGGATCACAGGTGTGTAGCCCATGCCCGGCCTTACAACATTTTGACTAGGTAGTAGAATGTTCTTATTTTGAGAGCTACTAAACCCACGTATTTCAGGATGGAACATCACGATGTCTGTAATCTACTTTAAAATCTTTAACTGGTATTTAAAACTGGTAAAAGTTGAAATGAAGGAAAGGAAAGGAAGTCTGAGGGGAGAGGGGAGGCCGTGTCGAAGCCCCTGCCAGGAAGGCTCATCCAGGGTGCTCAGCGGGTCAGGCGTTCCCAGCGAACCCCAAAGCAGAAGCTCGGCCCTCTCCTGCTCCAGCCACCCCGATTCTGAAGAACAAACCTCTGAGTCTGGTGGCTAAGCGGGAGAGAGCCCTGGGCCACACACCCAGTCCAGCAGTTCCTGTTCATAACAGAGCAAGAGTGGACCCCTAGGCCTGAGCCCTGGAAGCTGCACTCTCCAGTCCCTGCCACACCCTCAGGCAAGTTACTAGACCTCAGGCACTTTAGTTTCCCCATGTGTAAAGGGAGATGAGGAACCTGTCTCCGGGGCCACTGTGTGGCACTGCGTGGCTGCCAGGCTCTAGCAGAGGCAGCTCTTACCAAGTCCACGGGAGCCAACGCGTCAGGATGGGGACGAGGGCTGGACTGTTGGAGTAACCTTGAAACCTGGGAACAGGGACACCAGCACCAGAGCAAACAGCAGATATGGCAGTCCTTTGCTCTGGGCATGGTGGAGGGGAACTGGGAGGAGTCCCCTTCCTACCCTCCCTCAGGTCGGGTGCCACCAGCCACGACCTCCCTGTCCCCAGCAGAAGCCATGGAGACCTGGGCACCTGGAAGCACCGGGACAAGGACAAAAGTGGCTTGGTGAGGAGGAGGGCGGCCTCACCTGCGCAGGAGGCCGGGGCTTGCTCTCCAGGCTTCGCAGCCGCCCCTGCACATCCTGCATGCTCTCCTGCAGGGCCCGGACTGTCCCCACCAGCCACTTGTCCAGCTCCTGGGACCCCTGTGGGCCGCCCCCCAGTTCCTCTGCAGAATAGATATATGAGAAGGGGACCTCAGAGGCAGCTCACGAGGGCAGGGGTGGGTCAGCATGGGGACAGGGTGCAGCAGGGCCAGTGATGGGCTGCCGGGCCAGGGTCGGTGAGATGAACCAGAGACTCAGGCAAATCTGTGACTTCCGGGGTTGGGGCGCCCTCGGCAGCAGAGACCAGAAGAGCAGGTTGAGGCCTGGGTTCACTCCCAGCACCACAAGACTGAAGTGAAGCTGGAGATGCTGTCCTCCTCACAGGGCTGCCCCTCAGAGGAGTGAAGGCTTAACACCTATGAAAATCCTCTCTGGGGACCTGGCACACAGCACTCTCCAGAGGGGACAGGGCAGGACGCGTCACTGTCCTTGGCTTTCGAGGGGCGCTTGCGGCCCCTGCCTAGCACTGGAGAGCCCAAGGACTCAACTCCTGGGGTGGCCTGGGAGGGCGGGGCAGGGACTTTGTCCGAGCAGGCTGATGTCTGCTGTTTGGCAACCCTGCCTGGACAGACTGCTCCCCCAGGGCCCACACTGGACTTTCGCCTTCACCCCAAGAGAGTGCTGAGAGAGGCCCAGGAAGGGCAGGGGGTGAAAGGTCCTGGCTTACCCTTCTCCTCAGGGCTCTCAAGGCTGGTCTTGGTCTTGGGGTCTCTTCCTGCTGCTCCCCTCTGCTCAGCCCAGACCTGAGTGACAAGGCGGGGTAGGGGAACAGGCGCAGCCTCTGGGCTGGGGAGGGGGAGGCAGGGGGGTCTCACCAGCTCGGGCTCAAGCTGCTCCAGGGAATCACAGAAAATGTCCAGATCCAGGTCTCTAGGAGTCTGGGACTCTGGGGAGTGGGAGGTAGTCACTGGCGAGAGGGGCCTTGAGGAGGGTGTGTGTGGCTGGGCAGAGGCAGGAGGGTACTGCTCCACTGGGCACCAGGGTCTCAGCCTGACCCTGGTCTTCGGAAGCAGGAGGTACAGAGGGCACAGCATGGCACCCAGACATCTCCTCAGCCCCCAGCCTGGGTCTGGCCCTCCTGCCCACCCACTGACCTGGGCCTGGGGGTGCTGGTTCCGTGGAGAGGTAGGGAGGCCCTGGTATAGCCCCATCATCTCTGCAAAGCACCTGTTCTTTGCAGCCTGTGAAGACAGCGCACAGGAGTGGGGCCAGGACGAAGATGGCAACGCCTGTGAGATCTAGTCCCTTCTTCCTATAAGGTGGGACTGGCTGGGGTCCTTGCCAGGACATGGTCAGAGCCTTCTGCCCCCAGCCCCCACCCAGCTGACTGCAGTGCCCCCACCTGCACCTGAGGCAGCTCAGAGCTGGGACCTGACCTGTGATCCTTCTCAGGAAGGCTTCCGGGGGCCTTGGCATGTTCGGGATCACCTGGTACAGGGGTGCAAAGTAGGCGAATGCGTCCTCTGCAACCTCTCCCAGGGGCACCGTGTCAATCACCTGGGGGAGGGGACCTCATGAGGAAAGGGTCTCTCTGTCCCTGTCCCACAGCCCCTCGCACCCCCAGCCACTAGACAGGCCAGGCTGAGGAGCAGCCGGAAGGTGGTGACTCTCAGGGAATGGGTTGTCTAGGGAATGGGGAAGGTGGGGGATACCTTGAAAGCTCAGGGACCACAGGGCCGGCCCTCCTCACCTTCTGTGCCACCAGCTTTATCTCAGCAACATAGGCAGACATGGCTTCCTCTTTGCTCATCCTGCCCAGACTGTGCCAGGCATCCCTGGGAACAGAGGGCAGTGAGGAGGCGGCCAGTGGAGGGGCACTTGCTAGGCACGGGGTGCTTACCACTTGTAGCGTCCGATGGGGTCCCAGAAGCCAGGCCTCGGTGCCAGGCAGGGCCCCAGGGTAGCCTGCTTGTAATAGCTGTAGAAACGAAGCATCTCCTCATAGGAGGGGCGGTAGGAACCTGCGCAGGGTGAGGAACAGTGCATCGCGTCACCCAGGCCCAAGGACCAGGTCAGGGGTCATGGTGGGGTCACCCTGGGAGGGCAGGTGTTGGGGTCCCGCCCGAGACATCTGGACCCAGGACAGCCTACACGGACCCCACTGGCGGCCGCGTCCTCACCTGTCCGGGGCAGGCTCTGGATGACGCTGACCGCCGCCTGGAACTGCTCGCGGCAGGCGGGCTCGGGGTCGCCTCGCTCGGTGCCCATGCGCTCGGTGCCCAGCACTCGGTTCCCGTGAGCGGGCTGCGTCCTTCCTCTTCCCGGCGAGCAGCGGGGCCTCAGGGCGCGGGAGCAGGTGGCAAGGGTCGCAGGACCAGACGCGTCCTCGACGGCGCCGCTGGGGTGCCCATCTCCAGCTCCGGGACAGAGCCAGCGAGGGCGTAGGGGGCGCAAACGGCTCAGACTCGCTCCGCCCCGAGACGGCACCTCCGGCTCTCTGTCTCGCTCCCCGCCGGCCTCGGGTCCAGCCGGGACAGGCCGCGGACCCGCCAGGCAAGTTTAGCCAATGAGAAGCAGCGTTTCACAGTCGGCTTCTGTGCTGCAGCCACTCACCGCGGCTCTTTCAAGATTATGCAAATCCTTCCCCAGACCGCGCAGGGGTCTCGCGCTACAGCGCCACCAGTGGACGCTGCGGAGCGCGCGGGTGCTCACGCCCCCTGGTGGAAGCGACGCGGCCCTCCAGTCTGAGCGCACAACCCGGCTCTCCCTGAGACGAATTTGAGGACTCAGGAAAGCGATGGGAGGTCAGCGTGGGGTCTCGCAGTCCGGCGGAGCCCCCAGGCCTCCGGGGTCACGGCTTTCCCTGGACACGCGCGCCACCAGTGGACGCTGCGGAGCGCGCGGGTGCTCACGCCCCCTGGTGGAAGCGACGCGGCCCTCCAGTCTGAGCGCACAACCCGGCTCTCCCTGAGACGAATTTGAGGACTCAGGAAAGCGATGGGAGGTCAGCGTGGGGTCTCGCAGTCCGGCGGAGCCCCCAGGCCTCCGGGGTCACGGCTTTCCCTGGACACGCGCGCCAGCCCGCG